TCAGCTCCAAGCACTCTCTTCCATCTCCAGTTTTGAACCATTCATGTCTGGCTCTCTTCAACACAGAGTCTCAGGAGATCTGGAGGGGCCATCAAGCCCAGTCAATACCAGAAGAGGAATCCCCATCATAACATGCCCTACAAACAGCCATCCAGTGTGGGCTTGGAAGCCACCAGTGAGGTGGAACCCTAGCCTCCCAAGAGATGGCTAGACCATTCCACTTTGGGATGGCTGTGGCAGTAGGAAGTTCTCTCCTTACATGGAGGCCAAGTCCTCGGCTCTGCAGCTTCCACTGATCCTACTTCTGCCCTCTGAGACCAGGCAGAACAAAGTGAATCCTACTATCAGAGGAAGGCAGCTCTCAGGAGTTCCCCTCCCTGCCATCTCCTCTTCTCCAAGAGAAGAAGATCCTCAGCTCCCTTCATCAATCCTCCCATGATGCCCCAAATCCTTAAGGGAAGTCCCCAAATGCCACACCCTTCCCTCACTGAACAAAGACAAGAGGTCTGTCTCAGAATGAAAGTGAAAAAGACAGAGAAGGGGAAAAGGAGAAGGAATTCTATTGCACTTGGCAGCAAACACCTCTTTAAGGGTTACAAATCAAAAGGGAAATTAAGGGCAAAGTGTGAGGAAATGAGTAGCAAGCCCAAATGAAAGTGTCAAAAATATTTGCAAGGGTATAAAGAACAGGAATTCAATCCCACAGCATTTCTCAGAGAGCAGGCCTGAGCTAGGGAAAATGAATGTGCTTTGTGTAAAAGCTGTGGCTGAAACATGACTGAAGAACCACTGGGGCAGATGGATTGCAAGCCATCAAAAACTGGTTACGGAAGGTAGGCCCCACTGGAAGCCCGGCTGCAGTGACTACAGTGATCCCCGAAGAGGCCACCTGGCCCAAGGGCCCATCAGCTGACACTCCCTGGGACCTCTCTTTAGGTGACTCACAGCTCAGGGGGGCAGGCGTCATGTTTGAGCTGTGGCCCCACAAAGAGATAAACGCAGGGCAAGCACAGGGATCACAACAAACTCCATCTGTAGACAGCATTGGGATGTGGGCTGTCACTTTCATCTTTAGAGCCTGAAGTTCTTTTCTATATGAAAACAAAATGAACTTGCAATCAGTTACCTAGAGCTGTCTGATAATGATAATGATAATGATAATAAGAGCAATACCTACATGTCACTAAGTGAACATGTTTTACAGTTATTACTGACAAATGTTCTGAGTCCTCTAAATAAGGCCTTTTCCACTAAAGCTACTGTCTATCTACTATGTATGAATTTTCTATGTACCTACTTATTTACAGAGTGTTTCCCCTTTTAGAGTAAGTTCCTTTGTATCTTGAGCAATCAGCATGGTGCCCAAAACAAGGATGATGAAGAATCAAAAAAGGCCTTTGAATCCAGTAATTAGGAGGTCATTGGGGACCCCTGAAAGAGCTCTTTTAGCAAAGTCAGGACAGAAGCTGGATTTTCCAGGGTTCAAGAGAGAATAGATGGTGAAGCAGGAAAGTAATCAAATATAAGCAACTTCTATCAGATATTTGATAATGAAGAGGAGGAGGGAGATACAGTGGGAGTTGGATGGAATAGAAGTGTCAAGGGAAGGCTTTACTTTTATTTAATTTTTAAAAATTTTATTCATTCATTTATTTATTTATTTTTAGTTTTCAACATTCACTTGTACAAGATTTTGAGTTCCAAATTTCCCCCCTCCCCAAGTTGGCATGTAATCTGATAAAGGCTATACAGGTACAATCATATGAAACATATTTCCACATTAGTCATGTTGTGAAAAAAGAATGAGAACAAAAGAGGAAAACCACTAGAAAGAAAAAACAGAAAACAAAAAAAGAGAAAATAGTGCGCTTTGATCTGCATTCAGACTCCATAGTTCTTTCTCTGGACGTAGACAGCATTTTCCATCCTGAATCTTTTGAAACTGACCGAGATCACTGCATTGCTGAGAAGAGCCAAGTCTGTCAAGGCCAGTCATCACACAGTGTTGTTATTACTGTTTACAATGTTCTCCTGGTTTTGCTCAGTTCACTCAGCATCAGTTCATGTAAGTCTTCACAGGTTTATCTGAAGTCCACTCACTCATCATTTCTTACAGCACAATAGTATTCCATTACACTCATATACCACAACTTATTCAGCCACTCCCCGACTGAGGGGCATCCTTTCAATTTCCAATTGCTGGCTGCCACAAAAAAGAGCTGCTATAAATACTTTTGCACATGTGGGTCCTTTTCCCATTTTTAATGATCTCTTTGGGATACAGACCTAGTAGTGGTATTGCTGGATCAAAGGATATGCACAGTTTTATAGCCCTTTGGGCATAATTCCAAATTGCTCCACAGAATGGTTGGGTCAGTTCACAACTCCACCAACAATGTATTAATGTTCCAATTTTCCCACATCTTCAACACTTATCATTTTCCTGTTCTGTCATGTTAGCTGATCTGATGGGTGTGATGTGGTACTTCAGAGCTGTTTTGATTTGCATTTCTCTAATCAATAGTGATTTAGAGCATTTTTTCTTATGACTACAGATAGGTTTAATTTCTTCACCTGAAAACTGCCTGTTCATATCTTTTGACCATTTATCAATTGGGGAATAAATTTGACTCAGTCCTCTCTATATTTTAGAGATGAGTCCTTTATCAGAAACATTGGCTGTGAAAATTATTTTCCAGCTTTCTGAAGGGAAGGCTTTTTTTAAAGGAACTGGGAGACCTGAGAATGATTGTAAGCAGATGGGAAGCAGTTGATGCAGAAGAAGAGACTGAGGATGCACAAAAAGGGATAACTTCTAGATAGAAAAATCCCATGCATACTCAAAGCCTGATAACCCAGTGCCTTTTATGTACTTGAATAGGTCTGTGATCTCATCCATGTGTATATGTCACAGAATTACAAGAGGTAGAAAGGGCCATCTAGCTTAACCTATACACATAAGGAATCGCCACTATCACACACTCAACAAGTGGTCATCCAGGCTCTGTTTGAAGACCTCCCAAGAGGGGAATTCTCCACCTCTGGAGATTGCCCACCCCACTCTGGGGCCCCTCTCATGGTCAGGATGTTTTCCTAACATCAAGCTTCAATTTGTTTTTCTGTAACTTCTAGCCATTGGCCAAACACAACAAATCCTGCCTCTATATGACAGCCTTTGCAATACCTAAATCCGTCTAGGTCTTTTCTTCTCCAGGATAAGATATATTCTTAACCAAACAGGAGATAGAGGCAATTATAAAAGATGAAATAAATTACTTATGTTATTTGCAAGCTTCCACACAGATAATATGAATTTATCCAGGATAAGAAGGGAAGTGGTCAAATGGAAAAAAAAATCTTTGTATCAAATTTCTTTGATACAGGTTTGGTGCCCAAGATATAGAAACTATATATATATATATACATACACACACACATACACATATATATATACATACACACATAGATATACATATATATAGAGAGAGGGAGAGTTATAGAGTTATATATGTAGTTTTATACATACACATACACACATGTAAATAACTAATAGTCACTCCCCAACAGATACATGGCTAAAGAATATAAACAAACATTTCTCAAAACACAAACTGAAAAATATTCATAACCACATGAAAAAATGTTCCAAATCATTAATAACAGGAGAAATGCAAATCAAACCAACTCTGAAGTTTTAACTCATACCCTGAAAATTTTCAAAAATGACAAAATATGGCAACAGCCAATATTGGAGGGGTTGTGGGAAGATAGGCACATTAATACATTGTTGGTAGAGCTGTGAAATGGTACAATCATTTTGGAAAACAACTTGAAATTATACAAATAAAGTGAATAAAAATGCCCATACATTTTGAACCAGAGACTCTTATTACTGGGCTTAGATTCCAAGGAAGCCATCAATAAGAAAAAAGTCCCCATATACTCCAAAATATTTATAGTAGTATTTTTTGTAATAGCTAAGAATTGGAAAAAAAAGTAGATGTCCATCAATTGGAGAATGGCTAAACAAACTGTGTTATATAAATGTAATAGAATACTTCTGTGCTGTAAGAGATGATATATGTGATAAATATGGAGAAGCATGGAAAGATCTGAATGATTTCATATAAAGTTCAGTCAGCAGAGCCAAAAAAAAAAATATATCCACAGTAACTACAACGATGTAAATGGAAAAAACACCACCACACACACACACAAAAAAATCAAATGTAAATGTAACAAAATTACAAAGGTCAAGTTGAACTCGAATAGTTTTGAGAAGACACTCTTATTTAACCTACCCGGTGGTGGGAGTTACAGATGTTAGACACTGCAAGTTTTCAGACTTTCTCAATGCATTGCTCAGTTTTGCTGATTTTCCCCTCTAAAATCCCCCCCCCACTATCTATCATATGGGATGTCTCTCAGGGACGAAGAGAGAGAGGGATACGTGGGACACTATGGTGATGTAAGAAACAGAAAACATCTAAAAAATTTTATTTAAAAAAAAACAGAAAATAAAAATAACCCATCCTTTCACATCATTATCCTTGAGGGGACAGACCACAACATGATCAAACCCACACAGATGACCCAAGACAAATACAGACATGAAGACAGAAACAACTTCATGACATCTATATTCATCAACCATGCCAAAATGATGCAGCTTCCTCTAGGTTTATTTCACATCTAAAGCATAATGAGCTGTTGAAGTGCTTTGTAAACCTTAAAGTGCTATATAAATACCAACTACTATTATTAACTCATAATTCTAATGTAATTGTATTAATAATATGACATGATATGATAATAATAATCACTAATACCCAATGCAAAAACACCATTCTGTTCAGCTTTTGCCAGTTGACTTAGCTAACAAAATTAGAACTGAGCATATTCAGTGGACCCATGAAAAGCATCATCTCTCCATGAGGCTTGAGTCAGAAAATTCAAAGGAAAAAGGAACAATGAGAGAGAGGTAACATAAAGGCTTTTACCTGACTAGGTTAGTACATGGTCCTGGCCATCGGCAGCTCTGGTACACCCTCTGGAACACTGTTTCTGACCCATTCTGTACTTGACAAGACACCATCTTTGTCACGGTATGATGGCACCAGTTCCTATGGGGAAGAAGAAACTTACATGTCAAACAGGCACTTTCCTAAGCCAACCACCATAACACCTGCTTCAGAATTTGGTAGTCCTGAAATGCCATATTACACAAAAGCCATCCAGTCCAAGCCCTTTATCTTAGAGATGAGGACATTGAGACCCAGGGAGGTTTAGGTGACTTGTCCAAGGTCACCTTGGTAGTGTCTGAAGTGGGATTTGAACCCAGGTCCTGACTCCAGAAGCAGTGCCTTCTACTAAACCATGAGTATCAAATGAGGCAATAAATGTAAAGCACAATTAACTATAAAAAGCTACAGAAATGGAGGCTAATTTTATCAACATCTTCATCATCATTGTCAGATCACAGACTTAGAGGTGAAAGCGACCTCAGAAATTACCCAGTCAAACCACCTAATTTTACAGAAGAGGAATCCGAGTTCCAAAGAAGGATAAATCTGGTCCAAGGTCATAAAGGCAACATCAGGATTCGAATCCAGGTTCCCTAACTCCAATCTTTCCACTTCTCCCCTACTGCTTCCCCTCATCACCATCATTCCTATGATGACCACCACCAGGAACAGCCATCTTGAGGAGCATTTACTTCACAGGCTGGGATCTTTAGTAGTTACCACCACTCAAAAGCCTCCTTCCCCGAAGGATAACCAAAGAACACGTGGGGTGGGGTGGCATCTAGACTGTGCAGTGGATAGAGCACCTGCCCTAGATTCAGGAAGACCTGAATAGAAATCTGGCTTCAGATACTTGACACTTACTAGCTGTGTGACCCTGGGCAAGTCATTTCACCCCACTGCCTCACACACAAAAAAGAACACATCAAGGACATTTTGAGGAAAACCTCACATTTGGGAGAGCCCCATCCTCTGCAGAGCTCAGTAGGACTTACAAAGCATCTGTCTCCATCATCCTCACAGAAAAGGACCAAAAGAGTAGGGGTTATTCTATTTCAAAGATAGGGAAAACAAGTCAAAGAGACACTGAACCACTTACAAACATCTATACCACACATCAGAGAATAAATTCAAGCCCGGAACATTCTTATGTATTTAGGTGTCACAATGGGTAGAGTGCTGGATTTGTGGTTAGGAAGACCAGAGTTCAAATCCTGCCTCAGATACCTAGCTGCGTGATACTGGGCAAGTCACACAGCCTCTCTTAGGCTCAGTTTCTTCATCTGTAAAAATAGAGATAATAAAATCAACTACCTCATAGAGTTGTTGTGAGGCTCAAATGAGACATGACTATTCAAAGCCCTTTGCAAACCTTAAAGAGCTACATAAATGCTAGTTATTATTAGATGCAAGTTATGCTATTACATGTAATACTAGTTACATATTATATATTATATTTATTATGTTCATAATATTTATTTTTAAGAGGCTACCACAAGAGATACAGAAAAACCCGGCTCCCACAGAGAGAAGAGTATGCTGTAGCTGTGATTCAAGCAAATGTCAGTATAAAACACATCCCTTGTAACACATGAAAAGGTCTCAAAGACGTTCAAACTAGTTTCAACCCCTAGTGTTTGTTGCTTTTCCAGAAAAAACCATGGATCTGGTGAAACACTTTTCAGTATGAATTGCTCTATCTGTACATAATGTCTACATCTGGATTAACATAAACATTTAACACCAGGATCTTTCCCCTATTGTCTGAGAGGTCCAAATATTGCTGCTACACTATGAGGAGATTTTTAGTCGAGGCTTCTGGCAAGGAAATGAGTTGTGAGTTGGAAAAAAAAAATTTAATTCATCAAATCATTATCTCCAGATATTTAATTTTTTAATGAGCTGAAAATGGCTTCCATAAATCAAGGTCATGCCCCACCTCCAAAAAAAAAGTGAAAAGGGTGAAAATGGATAAAGAAACCAAGGGCACTCCACTCTTAAAATCTGAATTCAAAAGCACATAGAATAACCTAATTTCATCCAGGTTCCTAGACAGCCTCCCTACATACACACACACACACACACACACACACACATACCCCTGCTGTTTACCACTGTCTCACTTCTAGTGTTAATTTTATTGATCATGATTTTTATCAGTCACATAATTCTATTTACCACTCTTTAAAACCAAAATACTCCTATCCTTTGCTTTATCACTAGGGCACAGTGCGACAAGTATGGTGCAGATGAAGGAATCTACAGGTAACCCACGTTGTATTGGGGCTAGAATTACCTTTGAGATCATTTATGCCTTAACAGAAGTCCAGAAGTGCCAGTGAGTTGCCCATAGTCAACACAATTTGTATTTAAGTGACAAGACCTGACTCTAGGTCTTCTGATGACTGAGAGGTAAGCTGTGTGATCAGGGCTGGCCCCTGGCAAAAGCACTGGTAAAGTTTGCCCTTGTTCTTGGCACTGCCTGTTTGTTAGCCATCCCTACCCGCTCCATGCTGTTCTACAGCCTGACTCCCAAGCACAGAATCACCCTCCTGCTGTCCATCCTTCTGAGGACTGCGAGCTAATGTCAGGCACCATAAAAAGCCACCAAATATATAAGGTGTCATTTGAGAATCGTGGCACCAAGGGCTGGAAGGAGGCTCAGGGGCCATATAATCCACTCTCTTTCATTTCCAAGGTGAGGAAAATGAGATAAAGATCAAGTGACTTGCCCAAGTAACTTGGACCATACATCTTTTCTCTATGGGAGCCAGGTTTTCAGGGTCCAAAGTTTATGAAAGGCTGTCACTTTTTTAAAAATATGGTCCAGAATTGCTTCTCAGGAGGACTGGGTCCATTCACATCTCCATAGACAAGGCATTCATGCTTTTTACCTTCTTGCAGTCTCTCCAACATTGCCTATTTCTGTCTTGGGCCGCCTTTGACAGCATGCTGGGGAAAACCTCAGAGTGGCTTTAATTTGTGCTTCTCTTATTATGAATGACTTGACCCAATCTTTCATATGGTTGTTAATGTTTTAATTCTCATTTGGGGAACCATTTGTTCATATCCATTGACTTCTTATCTAGGTCTTAACAGAGAGAATTACATGAAATTTAGATCTTGGATATCAGACCCTTAGAGATATTTCATGCAAAAATTCATGCATTAATTTTATTGGTATAAAAACTTCTCAGTTTCATATGTGTGAAATTGTCTCTTTTATCTTTCACCATCTTTACTTCTCTCTATTCCCTAGTCGTAGCTATGAATGGCACTTTTATTTTGCTCCAGTTTTAAAATCATGTGACCTGATATTTAGGTCACATATTCACTTGGAACTTACTGTGGCATATAGAATAAGATGCTGGTCTAAACCTAATCAACTGTCTTATCAGTTTTCCAGCATTTCCTATCAAATAAAGAGCCCTTCCTCAAGTAAGTTATGTTCATGAGGTTTAACACTGGGTTGCTTACTGGGCTTGACTTTTTCTAATTCTTTCTTATCTAGGTCTATCTCACTGATTGATCTACCTTTATATTTTTTTAACAAGTACCAAATAGTTTTGATGATTACTACTTTATAACATAGAGTTTGAAGTCTGGAAGCATTATTTCCTATTCATTTCTCCATTAGCTCCATTGGGATTCTAGACTTTTTGTACCTTCAAAAGAGTTGTATTGTTATTTTTCTAACTCTGTCAAGTAACCTCCTAATTGTTTAATTGTTGTAGCACTAAATTTAGGTAATATGATCATTTTTATTATATTGGCATGGCCCAACCATGAACAGTGACTGTCCTTCCAATTATATTGAGTCTTAAGAAAATTTCTTCCCAAAACTATGAAGAAAGTATAAATAGTATCCTTAGTCTGAAATTCTAGAGGAGGAGCTCCATGAATACAATTCTAATGACACAACCAGAAATTATTACAGTGAGGAAGAAAAGAGAGGATGTCTAAAGAGACTGAAATGGATTCTCATAGGGAACTTATTAAACAACTGAGATTCCTTAAAGATATTTCTGTGCAGAAGATGGAAACAAAAGCAGGTAAGAGATGATGACTTTAAGAGTAGTATGGTCCTATAAAAATAGCATCATCATGCCCATCAATTGGGGAATGGCTGAACAAACTGTGGTATATGATCGTGATTCTTATGTGACTATTGTCACATAAGAAATGACAAGCAGGATGCTTTCAGAAAAACCTGGAAAGACTTACACAAACTTATGCAAAGTGAAATGATCAGAACCAGGAGAACATTGCACAAAGTAACAACAATATTATACAATGACCAACTGTGAATGACTTAGCTATTCTCAGCAATACAATGATCCAAGACAACTCTAAAGGACTTATGATGAAAAATGCTATCCATCTTCACAGAAAGAACTGATGAAGTCTCAATGCAGATTGAAGCATCACTTTTTTTTACTTTCTTTATTATTCTTGGGGTTTTTTTTGGTTTGCATTTTCTTTTGCAACATGGCTAATATGGAAATGTTTTCCATGACACCACATGTATAATCTATATAAAATTGCTTGCCTTCTCAAGAAGGGAAGACAGGAGGGAGGGAAAGGAGGAGAATTTGAAACTAAAAAAAAATTTAAGTGAATGTTAAAATTTTGTTTGCATGTAATTGAGAAAAATCAAATATTTTAAAAATATATCATCACCAGTATTACCATTTATAATAGTCTTAAAGAGTTAAGGCTGATGAGGAGATTCAAGTATGACAAAAAAGGCTTTGGGCGCTGTGTTGGGGAGAAGAATGGGTCACATGGCACAGCGGAAACAGCCCTGGAGGTGGAGTCAGAAAACCCAAGCTAGAACCCCACTTCCATCACTTGCTGCCTTTGTGAGTTTGAGTAAATGGCTTCCCCTCGCTTGCCCTTAGTTTCCTCATCTGTAAAATGAGGGAATTAGGATGATGAAGACTTCTAGGGTCAGGTCCAGCTCCAAATCGATGGTCCTGATATCACTGGGAGCAGATGGGATAATGATGACAAACAAGAGAAAGAAGTCACAACTACTCAGCACTCATGTTGCCTCTGTTCTCTCTACCAAAGGGAATAAACTTTAGGCCAGGAAGGCT